CTGTATGAAATTGATGTAACGTAAAATCCATAGATTTTACAAAATGTACGAAATTTTAAACCGAAACAAAAAATCTATGGAAATGAAAGGTATTTTTGAATCCCTAGCTACGTGTATCAAGATTCCAACCCCGTGGACGATAATTCCGCATTAGATAATTCCGCATTAGACAATTTAAGGTCTATGTGAAGAGAAGTACTTTTGCAATGCATGATTGATATATGAAAGGGGAAAAGCTGAAAAAAAAGGTAATATGTTGGAAATGAATAGGTTAAAACAAAAAAGGGTTGATGGTGCAATATATGTGTGCTAGGGAATCATAGACAGTACCACTAAGATACACAAAGAAAAGGTTAAAAAAGAGGGGGAGAAAGGGCAAGCTAAGCTTGTTTTCCTCCCCCTGAAAATCCGCTCGACATATCTGCAATGTCGGCAAATTATGGATTTCAAGATTTCAACCAAAGCTTATAGCTCCCATAAAAGAGTTTGCATAATTTTGCCTTTGTGGGGTCTTCTTTTATGCATGTTTGTCCAAAGATTTGAGGCATATACTTTCATTCACGCTATTGTGGGGCTGCTCTATTTCCTCTAAATATATGTGGTTAATAATTAATAAGCCCTTGCATAATGAGAATTGGTTTTGTATTCCTAATTTTTAGGGTTGGTGCCAAAGCATTGCGTTTTGACAGATATTTTTATATGTTGATAGAGATGTATATAAATAAATATCAAGGATTTTTTTTTTTTCATACATATCATTTATTTGAGATATTCTTGAACAACTTACACGTACACAAATGTGTGATATCAAAAATTCGTTATTTGATGGTTTCATGTATTTAAAATTATTTACGACTTGTGAGCACATGAATTGAGATTTTATAAGATTAGGAGAGGAGGTTTAAACTTAATTATATTTATTTCTCAAATCAAGAGAGGTTCATATAATTGTTGAAGATTAGTTTGGATGAGCAATCATGCATCAATTTGAGATGGTTGTTAAACTTATCCTTTGAAATATGCTATTTGTCCCCAAAATTTTGTTACTTAATCTTATGACATCTTCTACTTTTATTTTGACTTGTCAAACACTTCAAATTATAAAATTATACTATTAAATACTTTAATTTATAAAATCATTTTATTGAAATCTTTAACCTGCAAAAATAAATAAATTGAACACTTTTTAAATGGTTGAAAAATATGAAAATAATTATTTCAAAAGCTATGCAACTACACATCAAATAAATATTTTGCATATAAAAATAAAAAACCTTAAAAATTATTATTGTTAATACAGAAAAGTGTCCAATGTTGCCAAAATTTACAAATTCAAATGCATAATAGACCATTCACAAAATTCAGGATGCCACAAGGTTAAATTTGTAAAGTTTAGGAGTAAATTTATGCATTCTGCTTTTAAAATACTATATCAAATTTTATATGTTGGAAGTAAACTGAAATTTCGGTCAAATACATAATTTAACACTTGAACTTTGACAAAAAAAAAAAAAAAAACTCAAAATTACATAATTTTACACTTGAACTTTTGACAAAAAAAAAAAAAAAAACTGTGACACCCTGAACTAATGAAATCGAACCTTGTTGGCATCCTAAATCTCTGTTTTTTTTTTTAACTCAATAAAAAAAAAAAAAAAAAAACTGTGACACCCTGAACTATGAAATCGACCTTGTGGCATCCTAAATCTCTGTTTTTTTTTAATAATTTCACACCTCCTTACACTAAAAAAAAGCAAAATTTAAGAATTTTTTTAGCTTTTATATGCAAAATATAAGTTTGATACGTGGTTAATATAACTTTTTGAATAATAAATTTTACATTTTTAATTTTTCAATTAGTGCTTAATCGATCTGAATTAAGGTATTCAATAGGTCAAATGAAGTATTTAACATGTATCATTTTATAAATTGAAGTATTCAATGGATCAAAACACAAGTTGATGCCACAAGATTTTTTTGTGAAAGGTACAGGAGTGAATTTATATTTCGAACCTGAAATTTCTAGATGTCATTATTTGATTCTCTAATAAGTAGATACCTATTATATTTTTAGTATTATTATTGATAATTACTAATTATCAATAGTACTAACAAATGTTGAACGAAGCTGCTCTAAGTTTAACCTACAAAGGAAAATCTAGGGAATCTGGTTGGTAGGTAGAGTGTTGTAGGGCTTTTAGGGCATGGGCATGAGCATGGCAGCTAGATGTTTCTATATTATGGTCCAGCGTGAATAATGGCTGCAGCAAGTTTTGCCCAGATTTGCATACATTGTACTATCTTTTTAGTGGCTATAAGTTAAGCTTAATCACGCATTAATTAAGTTTTTGGACCCTAATTTTCCTAATTTTCACCTGATATACACAAATATAACTTGTGATATTATTTTACTATAATAAAAAAAGTCTTGCAATATATTTTATTCAATTAAGTGAAATTAATTTTCTTTGTTCAATTAATTGGTCTCTTTGTACTTTTTAAAGTAATGAGAGAATGAAAATTAATTTCTTAAAAGCTTTTATTAATTTAATGAGAGTTATTTTCTATTAATTTAGTTTTTTTAATGTAAATAAACTCACATATATAGTTGTATTCACTAATAATTTAACCATGGTTCATAGACTAATTTCAATGTTGCATGTTATTAATTATATAATTAATGAAATTTAAACAATAATTTTTACCAAAAAAATGTATAATAGTACTTCTTTTGTCCTATAATTCTTATCGTAACTTTCTTTTTTTATGCGTCCCAAAATATTGGCTCCTTTCTTTTTTTAGAAGTGAATAATATTTAAAGTTTACTATTTTATCTTTATTTGATAAGTTTTTTATCAACAAAAATAATAGTTAAACTACTTCGTTATCATTAATATTTGATAGAATAAATAAAATTAAAATATCAGCCATTAATATTCCAAAAAATACTTTATTTAATCAAAATTTTCATTACATTTTAATTAATTTCAAGCATAATTAATGTGGATCATTTAATTTTAATGACTATTAATATAAGGATATATTAGAAAAAAACAAAGCAAAAATTATAAATTAACTATATTAACTAAATTTTCTTAATTTATGTGTCAATCAAACAACAATTAAAATTTTGGCCATGTTATTTAACAGTTCCAAAGTTTTTGACACAATAGACATTATTATGGAGAGTTTAATAATGATTTCTTTTTGGAATGAAATTAATTTCATTTCAAGTTATAGGTTACTTTACATAAGCGTTTTATGCACTAATTTGATGAGAATTTAGAAATTTTAATGTGGTAAAATGTATACTTTTGATTGAATATGGTAGAAGAACAAAAATTAATGATTAAAAAAAAGTTGGGAAAGAAAATGTAAAACTAGGAATATATACATTTTTTTATAAGAAGTTAAACTAGAAATTTGATTAAGAGAAATCTGTATACAGATATTTTTATATTTTTCTATTTTATATAGAAAGTTTAATAATAAATCACTTATACAAAAAATAGAAAAATACAATCTTATTTTGATGTATCTGATTGAGTTGACAAAACATAATAATTTATGCAATAGGTGATCGCTTGCTCTACTTAGTGACGGTTCATGATTCAATTCCATAATCTTTCTAGAAGTCTGATCTGATTACCTTCAAATTTTTTCCTTCTATTGGGAAGGAGATTTGTACTTCTTTCTACATAACTATCTAAATAATAAAAGACGTTAGCCAAAATCATTAAAATGGTGATAACAATAACTTAGAACTAGATTTGAGAGTAAAATCCCAATATATGGGTAACAAGAAATCTCAATATTTAAGCGACAATAACTTAGATCTGTATATATATCTTAAGATTATTTAAAAAAAAAAAAAAAAAGGAAAGGGGCGACTACTGGTGGTCGACATTTGAAGAAGAAAATAGAGCTTTTAGGTTTTATATTTTGAGAGAAGAAAGAGAGCCACCGAAAGATGAGAATCTCCCCAGAATATATACATATATACACACATCAACACCAACAATTATTAATAGTAAAAAATTAATTAAGGGGATAGGAATGGTAAGTATTTTGACATTAAGGTGACTAAGAAAATAGTGTAAATTTCTAGCATTTTAATGATTTTTTTTCTTGTTGGAAAAATCGAATGGAAGGTGAATATTTCTTAAAATTAAATATATAATTTTTCTTAAAATTAAATAAAAATTGTTTCAATATGAGAACAATTTAAGATTTGAACTACATTTTTATTACATAATTATATGAATAAACTAAGTTAGCTCCAAGTATATGAATTTTTAATTCAAAAAGTTAACTGTATTTAACATATTTTTAAATATATATATATAAATTAAAGATTCATTCTAGATGAAGGAATGCTAAGACATCATTTCAATGGAGAAATATGTTATTTATATGTATATATATAAAAAATTACTTTTTCAGCAGCTTATATTGAAATTTTAAGATTATCTTAAGACCTTATTAAACAAATTAAATAATGATAATATATTTTACCCTCTCCCCATAAAATATTTATCATGAGGAAGTTAAACTGCACTAAGCATTTAATAAAATCCCTAGAAGGTCCAAGATTAAGTTTGTTTCTATATTATATGCTTTTCTTTTTCTTTTAGGTATTGACCAAATGGTTTTTATTTCCCTTTTTCATTTATATATACGTGAGGTCATGTGCTCTCAATATGTCAATATATTTTTTTGATAAATACATTCACAAGGGTCAAATTCTATGATCTCCTTATTTTTAATTTTAAAAAATAAAATCCATGATCTTGTACTTATTATTATTATAAATTATAATTATAATTATTACTAGTATAATATAAATAGTCTCAAACTATTCTAGGATTCTCTTCATTAATTGAATTCCATTTTTGCATGTCATTTTCCCCAACCCCACCACTAATCTCTCTCTTTCTCTAAATTTTTTTTTCTTCTTTCCAAAGGTTGAAAAGAAAGGAGTAGAGAAGAAAATAGACTTCCTAAAAGACAAACCCAATCGCCTTTCAAAAACCAACCATTAAGTAGTGCAAAGCTTTCCCACATAAAGTCTTTTTGTAAGATATAAACCACATCAAAGATTAAAATTCACACAAAACATGGGTTTATGGAACTACCATGTACAAGACACAAATCCTAGTAGCAATTTCATTGAATGGCTTAAGCCATCTTCTTCATCTTCTTCACTTACTTCTTCTTCTTCATCATCTTCTTGTTCTATAACTCAACAAGTTCATCTCACAAACCCGACCGCCATGAATATACTAAAACTCCCTCTTTTATACCCACAGCAGCAAGAAATATTTGTTAAAGAGACAATTCAATGCTTGCCTCTTTTAAATACGCTGATAGAGAAGAAAGCGATGAAAGAAGAGGATATGGATATCCAAGAAAATATTATTAACAGAGAAAAGATTAGTAAGGATAATCTTGATGACGACAAGGTTACTGTGGCTTTGCACATTGGGCTGCCTAACAGTGGCAGTAGCACTGAAAAAGTTGAAACGAAAGTTAATTTCGATGAATTTAAGGAACCTATCAAGAAAAGCTTCCATGGCGGCCCTTTTAATTCAGAGACTAGGTTTTGGATTCCAACTCCTGCTCAGATCCTTGTTGGTCCTATGCAGTTTGAGTGCTCCATATGCAGCAAGACTTTCAATAGGTACAATAACATGCAGGTCCGTCAATCTCCCTTTTCCTTTTCTATACATGTATATTTTTCTAATCTGTTATCGTTTTTTTAAAACATTTATCTCTGTGTAAATAAAGCTCCTACTGTCTATTTATCACTAAGTTCACCAAGTAAAAATTCGTTAATTGCTTGATTAGTATCTTTTAGCCAAACTAATAAAAGATTTAAATATTGAATTTCAGTGAAATGAAGAAAAATTAGAAATTGTTAGGGTTTATATATACAAGATTATTCCGCTCTTTATATTTTTGTTGAGGGGATTTTATTTTGTTTTCTTAATTTAATAGAACAAAGATATTATATTGCGTAATTACCTTCTTGATTAGATAATTGAATTAATATAGTTTAGTGGTCGAACACTTGTCTCTCGTAATAGAAGAGGTGAAAGATTCAAATTTAGCATCCGGTCCTCTTCCCATTTAAAATTTCTGATGTACTAAAAAAGGGAAAAGATGATTCTAAAGGTAAATGCAAACTACTAGAGCATGAATGTACTTTTCCCTCTGAACTTCTCCAGTATGTTCATACTCAATGTGTGTGTTCTTACCAATTTTAGAGAGAAAATTCAGACTTGCATTTTTTTGGTGGGGACAAGTAACTAATACCTATCTATTGTAAAAAGAAATGATAAAGTTGATTCTTTAATCAGTGATTATCGTACATAATTATGAAAAGGATAAAAAAAAAAAAAGAACGAAAGGCATGATAATTAAAACATATATCCATAATTATGAAAAGGATAAAAAAAAAAAAAGAACGAAAGGCATGATAATTAAAACATATATCCCTTAAAAATATTCCAGAGAGGGAGTAATGATTCTCATCTTTCGTGGCTTTCAATTAATTATTAAGGATACACAATTAAGATACTAGCTAGTTACTTTTGTTAGTTCTTTCAGTACTTATATATATTTGGTATCTACTTGCTTATAGTTCTAAGACCTTTGTATGCTTTTAATAGTATACATGCAACTTCAATCATATGAGTTTAACAAAATGATGGCTTATTATGTTCTAAATAAATTGAAATTTCGATATTTAATTTTTTTTTTCCTAGGTGAAAATAAGTGAAATTTCAGCAATCTTAACCCTCAATTATTGTCTAATAATAATAATAATAATAATAATAATAATAATAATACACTAATGAATCCTAAATAATGCCTTCACTTTCCTAGCAATTTTACTCTCTTTTTTTTTTTTTTTTTTTGAGAAATGTAGGGATTTTAATTTTTTTTTTTTTTTTGAGAAATGTAGGGATTTTACTCTATGTTTTCTTCTGTCAATGCTTCTACTTTTGTATTACTAATTGGGAAAAAAGAGGGGTAAGTAGAAATCTTATACAATTAGTAAAATAAGGTGATAATTAAATAGTTGAAAATAGTTGAAAATGATTGAAGAGATGAAAGTGGTGGCAAGATTGTCAAAAGATGTAAAAAGAGAGATGATAAAGAAATTGAAAATGATTAAAGAAGCAAATATATATAAACTCTTAAGATCTATGAAGGCCCCAACCACAAGAGAAAAGAGAATAGGTGTTTTACTACTTTATTGGATACTCATTCTTTCATTATCTAATTCTCCATTACTTTAGATTAATTAACCACAATTTACATCTTTTGATCACAAGATATGGAGATACTCCTTGGAGGATCAAATCTAGCTAGCTAGTGTCACTTCTGTTTTTTCTTTTTTCTTTTTTCTTTTTATAATCCGGAGGTGTAATCCTTATCGACCGAGTAAAGGTTTTTTCCTCTGCCAATAAAATTATGAACCTTTGTTTGTGCTTGTAGATGCATATGTGGGGGCATGGATCTGAATTTAGAAGAGGACCAGACTCACTTAAAGGAACACAACCAGCAGCAATGCTTAGGCTGCCATGCTATTGCTGTGCACAAGGTTGCAAGAACAACATCAACCATCCAAGAGCTAAGCCATTGAAAGATTTCAGGACCCTTCAAACTCATTACAAAAGAAAGCATGGAGCCAAGCCATTTATGTGTAGAAAATGTGGGAAAACTTTTGCAGTTAAAGGAGATTGGCGAACCCATGAAAAGAACTGTGGCAAGTTATGGTATTGCATTTGTGGTTCTGACTTTAAGCACAAAAGATCACTTAAGGATCACATTAGGTCTTTCGGAAAAGGTCATTCTCCTCATCCATCTCTTGAAGGTTTTGATGATGACAAAGAATGTATTACTGGCTCTGAAGAAGACGAATTCGCTCGCTAACTAGGACCAATCCTTTTCGGATCGATCTATTTCATTTTTTTCTTTCTTTTCTTTCTCTCTCTCATTTTTCGCCTGTTTGGAGTTGAAAATATAAAGTTGAAAGTTATAGCACCGTCAGCTATTTCTGCTTATACATACCTTATACGCTTGTGCTCAGTAACAAAAAATTCTCAAGAGCGTGAGAAGCAAAGAGGGAGCGGTTTGTTACAGAGCACTTGCAAGAGGATTATGAGCAGAAGGGGAAGATTAATAAAGAAGGTGAAGAATTAATGATTACCTCTTATAGTGGTGAAGTTGATGAATTTTCTTTATCTCCAATTTAATGGAGAAAATTTGTCCGCTTCATTGCTGACTGGTAATCTTTTTAATTAATATAATATAGTGATTTTGTTTGTTGTTAATGTTAATCTGCTTTCTGATTAGCATATGTATTTACATATATATGTATGATCAGTTCCTCTTTTATTTAATCTACTAAGCATTATACTTTTTAATTCATGTGTTAGATTTTGTTCCTTCTAATTAATTAATCTCCCATTTTATAATATTTTTAGCTTGGAGTACTTGCACCACTTCATAAGAAAATCTACCACATGTTAAATGCGAATTATCGAACATTCTTTTTTACTTTCATAAGAGTATTATTACATGTGTGCAAGAGTGCACTTAATTGTTTGTGAGTGGAAAAATATTTCATAAAATGGCATAAGAATAAATGAAATCTCGACAAGAGAAAAAAAAAAAATGAAGTACTCTTACCTTTTCATTTCTTTTTTGCTAGTAATTTAATGCTATTTTACCTAATTCTAATCCTCCATGCTTCCTCGAAGGGAAGAGCAAAAATAGAGTTTTTGTGTCAAATAAAAGTGGATTAAAAAATTTCACCTAAAAATACTGAGCATGCTTGGAATCCTAAGCACATAACCCTTAGATGTTTCATATAATGGAAACACACTTTTGTTTTAGCCTTTCAAGTACATTGATTTGTTTTTTTTTTTTTCTTTTTCTTTTAGGAGATACCATATACCATTATCACAAATTGCATAAATTAGTTTCCTGATAGAACAAAATGAAACTAAGTCTTAGATTGGCAAATATGCTATAAGCATATTGAAATGTTAAAAAAAAGGCACTATTAATTGTGTTGTGTCACTAATTTCAAAGGCAAAATAAACAAGTTAACGAGTGAAGTCCAACATGGAGGGCTCACCAAATCACCCAACAACCGGCTGAGTATAAATAATTGTATATATATAAGATGAATGCTGGAGAATGATTAGGCATTAATTAAGCTGAAAGGTGAATTCTGAAGTCTTTACATTGAAGACTGAAAATGAAATTAAAACCCTCAAAATGGTTTGAGCTAATTGTGTGTGAATATGAGAAGTGTTGCTATCCCATGACTTCTGTTTTTCAAAGATGACACGAACACTATCATCATCTTTGGAAGAGAATGAGATATGGAGTTGAAAAATGTATATACATACATGTATTTACTTTTGGGTAGGCTTGACAAACTAAAAAGTTGAAGAGGGAAATTAAATTGTTAGACGGAGAGTTGATTGCCTTTTCTTTTTCTTTTTCTTTTTTTGTTTATGTGAAGATTAGGGGCCGCCACTATGGATTGTCGGAAGGAAGCAAAATCAAGAAACAACTAAATACATAAAAGAAGTTGTTTAAAAGGAAAATACTCACTTATCTGAGTTTATTTTCATTTATTTATAGTATACATAATAAATAAATGATTGTTGTGGGTCAGATCTGATTTGATTGGTTTTGTCACATATAATAAGAGAATTTTCACTAATTTGATAATTAAATACGAAGGTTACCCCCTATTGTGCAACTAAAATATTCTTTCAGCTTGTTATAAATAAAAATAAGAGGCTTTTAAACAAATGTCAGATTTAAGATTCCATTTTTAACTAAATGTCATAAAAGAATGCCTATTAATATAAAACAAATTCGATCAAGAAAAATTCAATAATACTAAAACTGACCTTGCAAGAGAAACAGGAAACACTAAAAAAAAAAAAAAAAAAAATTCAATAATACTAAACTGACCTTGCAAGAGAAACGGAACACTAAAAAAAAAAAAAAAAAGAACTTGCTAGACCACTAAAAAAAGGAAACAAAAAAAAAAAAAAAAAACACTGAAAAAAGAAATACCGAAAAAAAAAAACACCGAAGAAAAAAGAAACAATAAAAAAGAAAAATACAATGAAACATGAAATTCTGTAAGAGCAAAATCCTTATACAACTTATTTAATTTAACCACAACAATACCGATCAGTAACACTATTGATGACGTCAACTGCAACAACATCAATGACAAATAATGATATATATGGTATATAAACGATGTATTATATATATATTATTATATTATATATATATATATATATATATTATATTAATATTATAACCAGCCTTTAATCACACGGGCCAACATATAATTATAAATAATCTAACATGATATGATCAGTATATGTGTAAATACACTGTATTTACTTGGTTTGATCCAATGTGTAAATTGATGTATATATAATCTATTTCTGTAATACTGTAAATCAATTAAATACAGAATAGATTATATATACATCAATTTACACATTGGATCAACCAAGTAAATACAGTGTATACACCAATATACTGTATCATATCATCGTTAGATTATTTAATATCTATATGTGGCCTGTGTGATTAAAGGGCTGGTATTCTAGCATTATAGGTGGCCCAAGATGATGGTTTTATTGGGCTAAAGGATAAGAGCCAGCTTAGGGTTTTTAATACCCTTCCTCTGCCTTAATTAAGTAAAAGGAATCGACAGCTTAGAGTAGATACAGAAAAAGAAAACAAAATTAGAGAGTGTGAAGGCTACCTCAACACATAGGTGATAGCTTGTTTGAGAGAGCTCATAAAAAAACTCCCGTACTGTTGATGTTTCTCTGACCATTGAGAGAAAATTACGGACAAAAGGCCAGAGGAAGAAACGTAGATCGTTAATTACAGTGAGAATCGAATTGCTGAGAATCGAATTGCCGCAACGAGGTAACCCATAACATAGATCTGCTGTTATGGATCAAGGTACGCTTCCGATTATTGTATATTATTGTCAAACAAATTTTATGAACAATAGATCTGGGCTATATTAAAGATTATTCAACATATGGTATCAGAGTCTGTACTTGTTCTAGATTTGTTTGATAGCATTTTGTTTGGCTTAATTTATGGAAAATTAATTTTGGATTGTGATGCTTGAACGAAGCCAAATTATAGAGATTTGAAAACTGTTCGTTTTCTTTATAAATTATTTTGCTATAATTTATAGAGAATGGTTATGACATATTATTAGGTTATGTCGTTAAAGTTTTGAAAGTTTTCGAGATCTTAAATTTAATCTCATAAAAGTTTTGCATAAATCAATGTTTAATGAATGGAAAACTTGTTAGTCACAAAGTGGCCTTGTTTGGATTAATTTTAGACATTGATTATGCCAGTTTCAAAATTTTGTTCAATATTTGTGTGATGCCTGTTATATGACATGAAAGTTAAAATTGAAACAATTTGAGTTTGTGTGATATATAATTTGTTAGGTTACCCAAGTAGACCTAATTATAATCAATGGCACTAAAGAGACTTATCATTGTACTAATTAATATGAATGTATATCCAAATATAACATGCATATTGTATGGAGCACTATTGAATAGTTGAAAGGAATAAAACAAAAAACATAACTGGATTCCAGAAAGGAGCACAGGTGTGCTACAATAAGCACGAGCGTGCTATGGACTTCTAGAGAGAAGCACGGGGAATGCTGTAATGTAGCACGGGCATGCCCTGACTTCCAGAGAGAAGCACGAGGCGTGCTGTAGTGAAGCACATGCGTGCTTCTCTCTGACTTGCATAAAGGTTCGCAAGTTGCTCCACATCAATGAAAGTCTGTTAAAGTATTTTTCTTCTTGGCATCATTATTGATTACGTATGAGTATATGTATAATGTTGCAAGCGTTTTTTTAACATGTTTTTGCTATTTGGGCACTGGGTTAATTAAGTTTCAATGGATTGAACTTGCTGATTGGTCCAAACAAATCCATTATCAGTTAAGGAGTTCTGGGACTTGGATTTGGCATTAGTCTCTGAAAAAGCTAGCAGCCATTATAGAGATCAGCACTGAAGCTGACAAGTCCCATTATGAGGCTTGGGAGCGGTCTAACAGGCTGAGCTTGGACTTAATGAGGATGACAATGGCTAAAAATGTTAAGCTATCAATGCCCAGAATAGACAATGCTAGAGAGTACATATTGAAAATTAAGGAATACTCCCAATCGGACACAGCTAACAAGTCTATCGTAGGATCCTTGATGAGTGAGCTAACGACCAAGAAATTTGATTGGTCACAATCCATTCATGATCATGTGACATGCATGCAGAATTTGGCAGCCAAACTGAAATCAATGGGAATGGATGTGAGTGAATCCTTTTTAGGTGAATCCTTTTTAGTTCAATTTATTATTAACTCACTTCCTCTTGAGTTTGGTCAGTTCCAGGGGAATTACAACACCCTTAAGGAAAAATGGAACATTCAGGAAATCAAGGCCATGTTGATACAAGAGGAAGGGAGATTAAAGAAATCGAAGGAACACTCTATCAATCTCACATTTCATAATGGAGCTAGTAGCAGCAACAACAAATCAGGGACGAAAGGCAAGAAAAGGGATAGTGCCACAATGAAGGTTAATGAGGGCCAAATCCGTAAGGAATTGAAGTGCTACTTCTGTAGGAAGAATGGTCACTTCAAGAAGGACTGTCCTGAAGGACTGTTCCTAAAAGGAACGATTTGGTTTAAAAGAAAGGGATTTCTTTCGTCAACCCATAAACGAAACTAAAAGTTATTATTCATGGGAACACGATTGAAGGCACGAATAGAAGGAATTGAGGACTTATAGATTTGGATCCTGGACACTGGTTGTTATCTGGGATCTTGAAAAGTGTCTCTATGTTCCTGAATGTGCTAGAAAATCTAGTTTCTGTAGGGAAGGTTGGATAAATGTTGTGTTTCAGTTTTAAAGATTTGTAATCGATGTTTTTTCATTAATCAATTAAGTACTATTATGGTTCTGGTAACTTTGATTGATGGTTTTGTATCGTTTTAATCTTGATGCTGAATTTATTGATCTGTTTAATGTTGAACAAATATAGGTTATTAAAACGTGTGCACATAAAAATGAAATGTTCTGCTTTCCCTTGTGGCATTAAAAGTTAGGTCATATATCCAAAGAAATGATTTGAGGTTAGTGAAAGGTGGAATCTCTTACCTCAATTGGATTTCAAACTTTGACTGGGAACGTGTGTATAGCATTGCACTAAAGGTAAGCAAACTAAGGCAGACATTTAAAGAATCCAGCCACAAGAAGTTAGTGAATTGCTTGAACTTCTCAACACTAATATATTGTTGGCCTTTTGATGTTCCCTCTTGGGGTGGTTGAAA